ACACAAAAGTATGGAAATATCTTAAATATGTTAACTTATAAATATATATATATTTTTTATTAAGATATTAAAAAGTAGACTAGAATACAAAAAGATATAATAAAATATTGGACACAAACATAACACATATTTAAACCAGAAAGCTGCTTACTGAGCGATTATACATAATTGATTTTTACTTGCTGTGATAAAAATTTTTTTTAGAATTCTTCATATAATTTAAAAAAAAAAAAATTTCTAATTTTTTCAAAATTTCAGAATTTTCGTATTAATTTTATAATTTTAGAAAATTTTTCAGATTTTTTTGTATAAATTAAAATATTTTTTTTTAATGGTGAAATTTTAGTTGAATACTTTGAACCGATCTTTGTATATTCCTTTAAAATCTGAAAAATTCTTAAAAACATTGAGAATTTTTGTCAAATCAATCACGTTCAATCACTCAGTAAAATGATTGGCAATTTTATCTGATAACGCTTTATCTGAACGTGCCATTGTTTCTTTTTTTGTATATATATTTCAATCAATTGAATCAACCTTATTTATGAAATTAACATAAAACTCACGTAAGAAATTTATAATAAATACTTATTAAGTAATACTTATTAAGTAATACTTATTAAGTTTGGAATAGTAACCATCCAGTTTATTTATATCGATGAACAAATCTGGCAACACATCATAATTCCTATTAGCCGGATAATAGGACTTCATCCTCAGGTCTTGACAAACGTCGATAACGTTCCTGCGTTACTAAATATACAGATAAGCCTCCAAACAATACCAGCAGTAATCCTATAAAGTTTATCAATATCCCTTCACTGACGAAGGCTGAATATTTACTTCTGAAATTTCAAATAGAAAAATATATTTTTTGATTACTCATCATATTTACTAACTAAGTCTATCGCTACTAACTGTAATGCAAAGATCGCTTTCTCGTTAAGTCCCAACAAGCACGAAGCAATTGCGCCCACAAAGGCTGCAATGCCAAAAAATACATGCAATGGCATATAAGAAGCCCGTAATGGAGTTTGCAATCCGGGATAAAGGAAGGAAACACATCCAGCGACCCACTGTAAACAAAAATACATTGACATATATGTCTATGAATACAAGATTGTCAGGCAAGTTTCATAGATTTACCTGACAGCAGAATAATATTACGGTAGTCAATCCAACCCAACTATGTAGAGAATACATATTTGGTATAGGAAGCGGAGCAAGATTGTGACTGTCGAAGACGGCTACTAAAGCGATCACCACTAACAATATAATAAACAACATTATTCCTGCATGAGTTAACTTTAGTCGCTGTTTGTGAACATTTCTTTGTGTTCTATAGAGAAGCATGGCTACAAATAGAAAATAGATTCGTAAATCATATGTATATGAGCATATATGTGATGTAGGAAACTTTTTACTTTTATATTGTACCATTGGCATATAAAAATACAAGCCCTATAGTCATTAATAAAGGATGCCAGTTAAATTCGAGTTTTGGATTAGATCTCCATGAGAAACCTTGTCTATAATATCCTGTCCATACAATCATCAAGATTACAAGAAGCGCGCCACATCCCTCAGTAAGACTGAGAAGAGGAATGAAACCTTCCAAAGAGTGAGATTGAATTTGGGGTGCCTCTCTTATTTGCTCCATATCTAAAAATGTCTCATTATATGACAAAAATATCGATAAGTGTTAATAAATACAAAAAAAAATATTGATTAATATTGATGAATATTAGTAAATAACATTTAAAATAATATATAAAATAAATTTTACAATGTAGAGACAAACATATGTTAAGTTTATTCTATAAATGTCTTACATTATATAAAGCTATGTAACTTGCTGTGTTGATAGAAACATAATCCACATTCAATTTTCTATCATCACAGCAATTTTATCAAATTTCTGGCTGTTGTAAACATACTTACACATCTTACATATTCATATGGATAATTTGACACTTGCATTTTATGTCTCCAAAATAATAACCAAATAATAACGATAAATTTTTTTTTTATATAGACACTAATCTATAGAAGCAACAGGTGAAAAACAGAAGACAAACAGATGATAAAAGATATCTTTATGTTTATACACATACAAAAAAAAAATGAAAACAAAATATGAATCACCGTCTGTAAGAAGTTTACACACATTTAAACGATATCGATTAAGACTGCATTTATAAAATAATATATAACAAAATAAATTAATTTCATACATGTGGATTGCATATAAATGCGACGTTTCATATTTCAGAAGTGTTATTAGATGACAGTGTACATTTGATCGCTGAATGATATGGAGAAACAGAAATTATTCAAATGATAGCTGTTACTATTATCTCTCAAGTAGACCAACACTCATCAGTATTAAATACTTAACGGCGTGATATGATAATTATTATCGTAACATTCGATATAAGGGGAGCTTTCAACAAACGAAATAAGCCGTATATCGCACGTACTTACTCCTGATGCAATTCTTGTAAAATAATACTTACCGGATAAGATCAACAAGTATCACGAGACCTATTCATACGTTCACATTGTATGACGTCACGCGATAGAGAACATTATTGATCTTTTCTTCGAAATAAGAGAAGGCTCTCACCTGACACCTCTCACTTATACAAGTGCGTTCAGGAATATGCTCAGCTCTGTGTGCTATAAGGTCTGTTCTTTTTCCACCGCAAGTTCTGGGAGTCGATATCTCGAAATGAAAAGAAAATTACAAAAGTGAGCAAATTTACTAGATGTTGACCAATGAAATTATTAGTATTCTAGTAAATTCGCTCTTTGTAATTTTCAAGATACAGGGGATCAATTCTTTGTTTGTTGCGAAAGCAATATGAAGTGTTGATTTCAAAATGCAAGTTTCAGATTGGCGCAACAAACTTGCATACCATATCCCCAAAGCAATCAGTTTGCAACTAATATAGAACCAGCTTTGGAGATATGGTAGGAGCGTGATGGACATACAGTGCTGCACACACTAGTATTGTACTAGTTGTGTATATGTACATACATATAAGTATACACCATGCACATTTATTGTGCGGAAGTGCACAATAAATGGCAGAACCAATCAGAGAAGAGAACACTCTCCGCTCCTCACCCATGATTCTCTGGATATGATCAACACAATGCTATAAACGCTTTAAAGTATTTTTTAATTGGTTAGTTTGTAAAATTCTTTCTTCTAATTGGTCCATCAAATGCTTCAAAGATTTGTAACGAAATTTTGATCAGTTTCTTTGCCTTGTTGGTCACAAGTGCGTTCTCTCATTTCGCGCATGTAAAGTGTATCTGTAAAAGAAGGGATCGAAAGAATCACTAAGAAGTTCGGCGGATTAACCTAGCTAAAACTTGCGACACACACGATACTTGTTTTCCTGCTGGATTAGTGATTACACCTTAAAAAAAACACCTTTTTTTCTACTTGCACGCACGCACGCATATATATATTTTTTTTTTTATCAATAATGTTATAGTATTAATATGAAAAATGTAATTTTGGTGGAATAACGTTATAAAAAAAAAAAAGAAAAGTATGTCTTTTCAATTATTCTTCTTACAAAGTGGCGCTTGTTTAATCTGTAATAATAAATAAGTAGTGTATTCATAAAATATAACTATGGCTATGTATGTACAGGATATTATCAGGAAATTATTTTTTAATATAAACAAAACAAATACAGAACTCTTAATGTCAAATACAATATAACAATTAGAAAGGGCATATAAGAGTCAGCTACAATAATCATATAATATTACAAAATTAATACATAAAATATAAATAATGATTACATGTTTTGATTTCCTGATTGAATCATCTTCAGATATTCGATTTAATGCAATATTATAGTTAGAATGAGGAACAACATAATATAATTGGATACTAACATACAATTAAATATTTAATTGTATATTAATATCCAATTATATTGTCCTTCCTCATTATGACTATAATACAATGTTGTAGCTGACTCTTATGCCTTTCCTAATTATTATACTGTATTTTTAATATAAATTGTTGTAAATTATCATTGCTATTGTACATATAATAAAATATTTCAAAAATTATCAGTAAAATCATAATTTAGGAATTATAATACAAATTTATACAAGCAAAACAGCATTGATACATCCATCATTCTCAGGATTATTCGTAACTTGAGCAAATTTTCCCCATACAACTTTACCCGATTGTGTTACAAGACCTAATTCTGAGATATTCACTTCAATAATAGTTCCCTTGGTAATAACACCTAAATTTGTATACATAGGGGAACTCGGATTTTTTTTAACGCCAATAATCGGCAACGAGAAAGTTGCCTTGAGCTCGGGATGAGTTACATGTGCGGTTTTGAATCTTAATGCCATCGGTCTGATGAATCTTTCAAATTTCGGCGGTTTCCTTGTAAAATTCTCTCCTACAAAGGTCACTTTAGTCACCATGCGTTTCCATGATTTCCGTTTCGTCTTGCCACTTCTCACTACTTTGAAAACTTCAGACTCTGATTGCGCTCTCACTTTAGGTATTGGAACATCCCATTTGCCAACTTTCTCCTTTCGTTTTTGTTTTATCATATTCGACAGCACTTTCGCACGTTTTGTAACATCACGATCCAGCAGATATACAGGCAATGCTCCTTCGGGCAACTTATCAGATTTCACCTTTACTTTCTTCTCTTCATGAGCTCTAATCTTCTTTTTTATTTGAATCTTTTCGTTGCGTCGCTCTTTGTTGAACATTTTAGCTTTTAAACCACGCAAAGTACGGGCTTGCTCTGCTCGTTTGTGAGGAGCACGAGCCTCTCTCTTCCTCTTTCTTTCTTCATAGTCCAAACGGCGACCATGGAGCTTACGGTGCCTCTCAATATATTCGTTTTGTGGCATTTTTCTACATGAATTTTTATATTCACATAGAATTAATTCTTTCTGAAAAAGAAGTTATTATTTAAATAATTTGGATATAGATTTTATTAGCATATTAAAACTAGTATAATTATGTAATTTTCTACAATAGTACTGCGTATATATTATATTTGTCATATTTAATATTATTACAGAGAAAATAATATTAAATATCTAGGAAATAATTTCGCTTGTATAATATTAACCTGAACAAATATTCGTTTAAGTATTGTCTTTATCGAAGCAGTTAACGCGATAAATTATAATTCAATATAATCAAAGTACATGTACACCGGAGGCAATAACTGCAAAAGCATATATATTGTCTTTTAACATGTAATCATACATATTGGAGATATCCTTTTCTCTCTAGAGAAAAGGAAAAATAGTTTTAAGCTTAAAGTCAAGGTAACATTGATACAACCGGGATTAATTCATCAAAAAATTGCATCAAAATTTACCTCTGATTACGCTGCAGAAACGAAAATATGACGAAAACACGAGATGAAGATGAAACTATCATCCGACCATGGTGGAAACAGTTATCAGAGAGAAATCTCAGATCTCAGACCCTTAGGCTCGCAAAATGCTGCCGCGCAATTACTGCCCTCTAACAAAGTCCAAACTACATAGCAAGATTCACTTTTCTGAAGATACACAGATTCATTTTTTCAGGGTATCAATCATGAAACTTTTTTCCTAGGATAAAAAGTGAAAAATGAAAAATTTCTTCATTAACTTCAATGATTAAAATTTTCACTTTTCACTTTCCATCCTAAGAATAAAGTTTCATAATTGATACCTAATACTGGCGATGATAAATCGATATTAATGTAAAGAAGAGCGGCATGGCTACCTACTTGTACGAGCCTCAGAGTGCGTTTCCGAGTAAGGATATATCCAAACAATTGCATAAACGTATTATATGCATAAAGAAAATTATCCAATCACATTTCTCCTATAAAGACGCACGTAAATATGATTGGATAATTTTCTTTATGCGACTGTGCAAGCTGTTTGGATATACCCTTGCACATAAAATGCATGATATATAGTTTTATCCTTTTTTATTAATTGGTAAACAACAAAGACAAATAATTGAACAAGCTGATTAGTTTAACTGTCGAAATAATAACGAATATTACGATAAGTAAAATAATATATTCTTAAATTCTTTACATTTTTAATGTTTTCTGTCCAGCAAATGAGAATGGATTGAAATGAATTGAAATGGATTCAGATTTTCAGAAATATTGATTCACGAATGTTAAAATGTTTTTCAATTCTGAATACATTTTTATTCATTTATAGACATTGCATGGAGCATATCTTTATATCTTTCAATCTAAAAATAATATTAGCTTTTTCTGTACATTGTGAATAATGTTCAATTCAAAATTTTGAAATGCAGTTTTTCAATCCAATTACATCCAATTGAATCTGATTGAATTCAATTGACTCCAATTAAATCTAAAAAAAGTATTCGCTATTTAAAATACGTATTTGAATAGAAAAAAGTTTCAATCCATTTTAATCCATTCTCGTTTGCTGGATACTTGATACGAAATATTTGAAATTATAAAATAAATATCAAATATATGATCTTCAACCACGATAATTATATTAAATGACACGCGCCACTAAATCAAAAACTTGCAGCTAAGTTTCGAGAAAATCGATATGAGAAATTATTTCATTAATTCCGTGATGAAATATTAATTGGATTTTATTTTATTTCATGTAATATAAACTTACTTTACATCTCTTATTTTAAATAAGTCCTTTTAGTCAGGGATTAATCATATTTAAAACAATTTTATTTAAAATATGTATTTTAAATAAAAGAATAAAGTATATATTATTTTAATAGTAATATCCGGTAATTCAATAAATTTAAATTCATGCATCATACGCTTTCGATCCGAAAATTGAAAGTGATATAAAGCCATCAACGTGCTATCACTCATGACTACTAAAGTGGATCACAGTATCGATCTAAACGTGACAATTCTTAATTTGTAAACTGCCATATTGTAAACAATTATTATTATATTATTGAATGTATAATGAATGATTACAATAAAAGATAACATTAAAAAAGTTATGCAATATGATGAGCAAAATATAATAAAATAATTCGACATCAAAATAAAAAATAAATTTAAAATATACTTATCTACAAAAACGGACTGAATTTATTAGTAGCTCGTTTTGTACGAATAAATATACTTACAAAACCATCAACAAAATCGGCGGAGTTGCTTCTTATACAAGTTAATTCGTTTTAAATTTTCTTTACAACTTTAAATTAAATGTAATTTTGCTTGCAATTAGAAGAATTCTAACTTTATTCAAATTGCAAATTGCATTATAATAAAGTAGTGCATTGATTAGTCCTCCATGTTATAAAAATTCCCGTGCTATATTTGAATACCTATATTTGTGTTTTCTTTTTAATTTCAATAATATAATTAAAATTATAGATATTTTAAAGGTATTAACAAATAAATTTTTTATATTACATATCAGCTTTGAATCGTGAAAGCTCTGCTTGGTTGTACGTAGCGATACAGAATTCTTATTGGATATCGCTTGTCGCATCCAGTGTGCCATATGCATTAAAGGCGGAATTCATTTTGATATTCAGTCGATTCTTATTTTAAGATCTTAAGTAATGTCCTAAGATGCTAATACAGCTGTATGTTCGTCTGATTCACGTCATCTTAAGATTGATTACTTAAGACAATCTTAAATAGATCTGACTATGAATACAGAGAGAAACCTGAATCTCTATTAATTTGATAGATTTTAATTATTTCAGCAATTTATTTTCATTAGGCGCCGCAAAAAAATGGATATTATTGTGTAGTTTACATCCATTTCTTTAGAGGACAATAGTCGGCCGCATTTTGCGGAAAAAGGCTCTTACGTCATTTCTCAGGTTTCTCTCTGGTGTGTGTGTGTGTGTGTGTGTGTGTGTGTGTGTGTGTGTGTGTGTACATACATACATACAAATATTTAGATTAAGAACAGAAATAAATAATTTTTTAAAATTGTTTCGTATTTTTTATTAAATTAAAAATATACATTATGCTTGATCACCAGTCGGCATTGACTTTATAATGTCAGAATTGCCAGGATCTGTGATCGAAAGTGTACAAACACGGAAATATTTACCACAGGCTGTACCTAGCTCGATATTATTTCCGGTATAATGATGTACACCAGTCTTTGCCAACATCGCATAATATTCGATTTCGGATTTCCTGTTAAATTCAAACAAATCATGTTTTATTGAAATGTTGAAGAATTATAATTCAATACTCCCTGCACTTACAAGCAGGAGCAGGAGACTACTCCATAGTACTCCTATTACAATTTATAATACACAAATTGACATATAATATTTTCAATCTCTTTTAATACATAATTTTAATATAGATTACTCATTTAATTGATACTTTACTAATTCTAAAATATAAAAAGTTTATATTTATAAATTTACAAATTTTATCCATTTAATAGCGTTTTCTACTGGGAGAACTAGTGAAACACTGCCGCACACTGAGTGCAATTGTTCCATTATTAAAACCAGTTCGGATATTTTCTATAACTATGTTTATATGCCTCGATGCTTTGTTGAAGTTATAATCGAATTATATCGATGTTAGAAAAGTGATTAATTACATAGCGTTTTTTACTCGAGCAGGTTTACACCGATTTGAGTTGGATAATGTTCTACTATTGATTGATGTTACATGTTTTATATCCAAGGAAAACATCATTAATACAATCCAGATTAGTGCAAATTCACTCGGGCCAAATATGTCAATAGTCATTCCATTCTTTAGAGGAATGCTATGAAATTGGCCAATCATCAGAGAAAAAGTTTATCTCAGTATAACTTTTTTTTGCATTAGTTTCGTCAATAAAACATTAAACACTGACTACGTTTATGGCTTGATTTATGTTGAAATTATAACATTGATGTTATAATTTCAACATAAATCAAGCCATAAACGTAGTCAGTGTTTAATGTTTTATTGACGAAACTAATGCAAAAAAAAGTTATACTGAGATAAACTTTTTCTCTACTGTCTTTAAAGACAGTAGAGACCAGTACAAGTTGAAATTGACTGAAATTGAGGCTGTATTTAAGCTTTGAGATGATATTATGTTAAAGTAAAATATAATATTATATTATTCTATATTATATTATTCTAATTAATTCCATAACAATATTGTTTCCAATAAATGTAGTAATATCTATGCCATAATATAAACATTTTGAGTTAAACAATTTTGAAATTCAAGAAAAATTAATATTTTTTGTAAGAAGTAAATAAATCATATATTATTATAAAATAAGTAATATTCAGTGTTTCATTGAATCATACTAAACCTGCAATATTACTATACTAGCTCAGATTTCATCAAAACCTAGCACGGCATTGGTGCTCAGTTTTCTAAGTGGAAAACGCTATAAGAGACTTCATTAAATATGTCAATTTGTTGATACAAAAGGAGTGCTACTTCTCAGTCTCACCTTAATGGTGGTGTATTACTAGCAATGATGACCAATTTGGCTTTGCCTTGACGAAGGGACTTCAGAGTCTGCTTATAACCAAGGACATATTTACCAGATTTCATGACGAGAGCTAATCTGGTATTGATGCTCTCCTGGGCCTTTTTCTATATAATTCAGTAATAAAATTTCAATAAATATGCTTAACATTACAAAAGTAACAAGAAATTACAAATTGTTGATTAAAATATATTTATATTATCTGGAAAGGGTAATTATTTAGAATAGCAATAATGTTTGTTTAATATTCAGATCATCTTTCTCTTTCATTGCTCATGAGTTTACAACTTTTCATGATTCCACATAGGTTTCCAAGTTTGTACATAAAGATTTAATAAAAAAAAAAAATTAATTTTGGTTTTACAAGGGAGAAGGGAGAGAGAATCCTTCGCACATATATGTACTTAACAATTGCAGATGATTTAATAACAATTGCTCCACAGAGGTGCGGAAGGAAGCAAAATCCTCTATAATTATTAAATACATATATGTGTGAAGGATTCTCGCTCCTCCTCTTGTAAAACCCTTGTAAAACCAAAAAAATCAATTTCTTTTTTATTAAATTTCTCACTTTGCGATTCCACATGAGTTTACAACTTTTTGTACATAGCAAGAGTAGAGCAGGCCTTCGTTTTTAGTGAAACGCTCGAATCTGGTCTAATTTTATTAAAATCGAAGGTGAGGTAGCTATTCTAAATAATTATCCTAGAAAGTACTACTTTTTTTTTATCTTCAATATTAGACAGACATAAGTTTAAAACAATATGAATGCTGAAATAGCCAATTTATTTCAGATTGCTGTGTTTTGCATAATCTCAATTTTTCATTTAACTTCGAAACAATCACAAATATGATTTGCATACATTATAATAATTAATAATTAGTAATAGTAATATTAATATTATAAGAAATATTATAATAATACAATTAATAAATATTTATTGAAAAGGCTTTAAAAACTTTGCTAAAGAATATTTATGAACGAGCACATGGCATTGCCAATTACCTGTTTTTTCTGAGCCACCATTTTTACAATCAGCGGTTCTTCTCACTTCAGCTAATAATGTAATAATATTCATAATTATTAATTTTATATATATTTAAACAATTATATATAGCAAAATAATATATACATTTGAAATTCAATATCACATACCTTCCACAAGGAACAACAACGAAAAAGAAAAAGAATGGAGAGAGTAGAGAACAAAGTGATAAAAGAGCTCGTGAACAATGTCGTCAAAATGTTAGTAATTTTAAGCTGCATTTTCATGCTGACGCTCGACATGATCAAGATTGATGCTTGGTATTCGTCATTTTGATCACGTGACCTGTTTTGACACTCGACGCATTTTCGTCATCAAAATAAGTCACGATGAGAATTTCACGAATATCTGCGTCAATTTTGATTAAGTGACCTATATTGATGCTGAAAATGAGCGTTGAACATCAACATGAAAAGGCACCTTTACGCCATTGTAAATATCATTTAGTGTTGGTTGCTGCTTCACTGCTTGAGGGTGCCGTTCACAATATAGAATTAACAAGTCGGCGGCACACAATGCTTGTTTTCCTGCTGGATTGCTAGCTGGATTAGTTAGAATCTATACAAATAGTGTTCTAAACCTTAAGCTTTAAGAAATTGACTAATTACGGGCGAATGCGAGAAGAATAAGGGGATCCGCACGATAAAAGGAATAGAGAACAGAGAATAAGAATTTTAACCTATCAGAAATCATGTATTGTGGAATACACAGTTTCTGATAGGTTGAAATTCTTATTCTCTGCTCTCTGTTTCCTGTTCCTTTTATTGTGCGGAGCCCCTTATTCTCTATTCTCTATTCTCTATTCCTTTCATTGTGTGGAGCTCTTAATCGATTGTGATTTGTCCATTTTTTATGACTTAAAAATTTATTGTAGATCCGGACTTACAATTTTGCTACCATATTGGTTGCGATGCTGCCAATATCGCATCCAATGGTGACAAGATCCTAATCCAGCTAGCAATCCAGCAGAAAAACAAGCATTGCGTACTTCAGGCTATATCCACACAACTTGCACAGCCATATAAATGTATCATAAAGAAAATTATCCAATCGCATTTCTCTTAAGACGCACATTAAATGTGATTGGATAATTTTTTTTATCCGCATACGTTTATGCGACTATGTAAGTCGTGTGGATATTAGTGGATTTGCTCGTGGAGAGCAGACTCTTGCATAACGCATAACATATAAGACATAAGAAATCCAGCCAATCAGAGTTCTTTATTACATGGAAAGGAAGGAAATGAAGGACTTTGATTGGTACATTTTCTTATACATTAAGTATGGTTTTACATTAGTTGTAAACCGATCGCAAGTTTGTTGCGACAGCCAATATAAAGCGTTGATTTCAAAATGCAAGCTTCATTGACTGTCGCAACAAACTTGCGATCGGCTTGCAACTAATGTAGAACCGACTTTATGCTTTCAGCGAGTAAAAGCTGGCGTTTTATTCTCTCTCTATCAATTTTCGCCAAAATAGCGAATAAACGCTCAAAGTTCGACTGTCCAATTATTAGCGAAATAACTCTGACTATGGCCCACTTGATTGGCCAAATATAATATTTCGAAGCATTTTTTGATTGATCAATTTTTTTAATTGTTAGTCAATGCTCCTTTATTCACGATATAGTGGGAGTAACTTCGCCAGCGAAATTTCGCTCCATGAAAAGGAAGGATGCAATAGCTTTTCAACGCTGAATTTGAATTGTGACGGAGTGGGGATAAACGCTAGCTTTTCTTTGCTCGTATGAAAAAGCAGCTTTATGCCCAATGATATACCTTTGATGCGTTCAGAGGGACACTATTAGCAGCACTATCTCTATCATTCTATCTTCGTTGTTTATTAGATGTAAAACAAGGATAGAATGACACAGACGTTAATAGCGTCTTCCCGAATGCATCTCTTGTATTCTTATATCATGGTTCGAGCTATCGTTTCATGTGTCATATCGCGAGAATCTTCTTATCAGAAAGTATATACATATACGCGTGTGTGCATGCATGATGTACATACACTGGTGTATATTTTCGGAAGACTGTGGTAGACGTCCCCGACACTTGGTTGTTCGTAGTCGTTCGTCGACTACTTGCGACTATTCGTCGGTCGTCATTGACGGACGTCTGCGAGTAGAGCCTAACCCCTGCACACTCGTTTGAAAAGATCTTCGTCGGCGGCTCTATCATGAGACTTTGAAAAGCTTCGAGTTAACGTATCTCGGTTAAAGCATTTATTTGGTACGAACACTACGAACTCGCGCAGCACTGAAGCGCTGAAACGCTTAAGCGTAAGCCGTAATGTGAATGCATGCTAATGTGTTGGTACTCATCGCGGAATTATATAATGTATATGCATGAGTCACGATTTGTCACACGGTGTCAACTGTGCGGCAAGAAGGGGGAGGGGACGAACGTGACGTGCAAATGTCAAAGTCATACGGCGCAACCAGGCGTAACCAGTCATCTTGTCGTTATATGATAAATAAAAATCGTCAACTCGTTTCCTCTCCAAAAACTAACTTCCGCATCGTTCGCATCGTTTGTACTCGTAATTAACATCGAGATCTCTTGGCTTAATATGTTTATATCCCGTTAGAAATTGATTATTGTCTCTTTCCACGTTGATTGTGCGATGCGCTGCCATTAGAAGTTATAAGTCTCTCGAAGAGTACGTTCGATTTTCAATTTGTAAAACATTGACATTGTCTTTGTATATTTATTATATTATCTTATTATATTATCGTGCTAATCATTGTGTTCGTATTCGTAGTGGTAGAGTCTTTTAGCGTTAATCGACTTAATAATCGTAAAAATATACTTCAATAATCTCTTCCCTATAGATTGTCCTGTATATAATATAAACTCACATAACAAGAATAATTCAAGTTTCAAGTAACAATGTGTGTGCTTTCTAAAATTAATTGCATTTGAATCAAATCTTATATGGTTATTTGTGTGAATTATGTTTTTGTAAATCTTGCAGGAAATTCCAAGGAACTTTCTAGAATGAACAGAGAATATTCTTTTTGAATGTTGTCAAAGTCATTGTAAGCAATGATACAAACAAGACTTCTCGCATCTGTGGGTGACATTTCTTAGCTATTAAAACATTTGTATATCTTTTTATATCAAATTCAACGATTATTTATTTGCATTTTGGCATTGAGAAATGCCAGCACCATCCCCGACCCTCTCTAGTTTGCCAGAAATACCTATGTGTGAGAAAACGGAAGTCAATGATACTGATTCTCTGCCCTCTTGGGCCAAAATCACACTTACATCTGCAGAAGCTGAAATCGAAAAGCTGATCTCACGAAATGAGTTGAAAGATGCAGAGGTAACTTACTTCTGTCAAGTAGAACCAATTCTTCAAGATGGACCACAGTGAGTATTATTTTAATGTATTTAGTAAGTCTTCTCTCTCTCAGAAACTACTAATTAAAATACTATGTAATTCTTTTATTTTAAAAGAGAAAAAAGAATGTAATTTTTTTCTTATTTGCAATTGTATCAATTCTATTTCATCATTATAATACATTTAGTTTACATTTAATTAATTCTTGTACTTTTCGAAATTGTAAAATGTTAAATTAGTATTAAATTTTAATAATTGTTAAGTATTTAATGCTTTGTAGGTGCGGTTTAGTGGCACTTTCTATGGCATCGCAAGAATACACAAAACCAGTTTCTGTAAATCAACTTCTTGCTGAAGCTCGTGTACGAGGGTTTACACAGCATGGAGAAGTATACAGTGTCGATTTTATGGGAACATTGGCTGCGGAATATTTACCTGATCATAAACCAGATATTTTAGTAGATTTACAACAGTGTCCAGATACATTAACTCATGCTTTAGCACATGGAGCAATGGTGTTGATACCATATGATTCTGATTTCAATCACGCTCCATGTTTAAAAAAAGGTCATAAAGCGCATTGGGCATTGCTTGTGGGTCTAATCTCTTCCAGGTATAATTTATAATTGAGGGATGTATTCTAAATTTCAGATTGTATTTTTCCTATTTTTCTTCTGGAGAACATTTATTATAGGGATGCATCGAATATCCGAAAAGTATCCGATATCCGGTATTATCCTTTTTTATCATCCGACCGAATAGGGACGAAAGAAAATAAAAATATTAAAATAATTTCATCAGATGACGAATCAAGTTCAAGCGAAAAAATTAATATAAATAAGAAAGATAATAAGAATAAGAAAATAATTAAAGCAGGTGAAAATAAAATTAACGGTAATGAAGAATTATTTAATTAGATGATACAAATGAGGATTTTTACTTATCTTAGGTTATCACTAATCTCTAAAATTGAGAGCAACCTAGAATTAAATAAAAGTAATGAGGTAAAGAGTAACAAGTTAATAAATAAAAAAATAAAAAAAAATGTATTATCCGATCGGATAGCCGGATATTATTAATATTCGGGAATACATCTGGTTGAAATTTTATATTATTGATCTTTTATTATATAAATCTTTTATTATATAAATGTTCTATAAATAAGTATATATATTCATAATGTTATAATATCTTATATATTGTTGCAAAAT